TAACCCTTGCCATGCCATTTTCTACCCTATGTCACCCTTGCAACACCATTCTTCACCCAATGTCGCCCTTACTATGTCATTCCCCACCCAACATCACTATAGCTATGCCATCCTCAGTGCTAAGTCATTTTCGTTAGGCACTTTTCTGTGAGGTTTTTCGCTGATTACATCATTCTCTGGTTGGAAACACTCTCCCTATTTCATACTCTGTGTGACGTCACCCTCGCTAGGCCTTCCCCTAGAAGTCACTCCCCACCCCAATCTTGTCATGGAAATTTTGTATTACAGGTTGAACTTTAAATGTGTCATATATTCGTGTTATTCATATGTCTCTCGTGTGTATAATTAAAGCTCTGAAGGCTGCAATTGGGCCATGCCATGTACAATGTATGTATTACAGTACTCAGCTTGGTAATGGATGAGATGGCGGATCTGCGCTTATAGACCGGCATGTATACCACCATTCCATGCGAATGCCGCCGGCGGTAGGCCACGGGCCTGTATCCACATATCAGCAGCATAGTACCACACGGACTTCGTATAGTCAGGCGCCGCGCAGTGCAAACTCCGCGTGTAGGCTCATGTATATCTCCACAAGCCGCTACCGACCTGAACTGTATCTGGATGGATGTGTTTTAATAAAGATCATATCGGGCCCATCCAGATACAGACTGGCACTGTTTAATCTAAGGGATGCTTGTACAGACAATGAACATACTGCTGGGAGCTGATAGCATGTAAATAATGGGAAACTCGCTCTCCGAAGCGAGCTTACGGGGAGGGCAGGACAAACTGGAAAAAACTGTTTTTTGGTATAGGTTAAGAGGGAGCTTTGCACTCCGAGCAGGATGGACATTCTCGTGTATGGACACTCCCTATACATTGTTCTGTGGGAGGGGATTGACTTGGCCCCGTGCGGGGAGTGTGTTTTGTAAGATAATAAAAACAGGAGTCTGGTGTTAGACCCGGGCAGAGTGGATTCCAACTTTAACCTGGGAGTATCGTCTGATTTATTCCTGGGTTACTGGAGCTCCATTTCCCCACATCTCAAAAGAGCTAAACCTTTGCACACCGGTTGGAGGCGCAGGAATCGTGGAGCTAAGCTGCAGTCGCGGTAAGTGAAGGGCGCAATACGGTTGCAGTGAAGTTCGCACAGCTTTATGGGGGATTTCTGTGCATCCAACTGCGGGCACTCACGGTAAGGAAAATTAATTGAAAGCGAATTTCCAAGACAATCTCTGTGTGACGTCACTTGCTATGATTTATGTTAACATAAAAAAACTGACCCAATGAGATATAATTGTATGCATTATTCTAATATCTGTCCTGCGTGCGGTGAGCGCTAGAAGATCTGTCCTGCGTGCGGCGAGCGCTAGAAGATCTGTCCTGCGTGCGGCGTCCTGCGTGCGGTGAGCGCTAGAAGATCCGTCGCGTCGGTGAGCTGCGTCCGCGGTGAGCGCTAGAAGATCCGTCCTGCGTGCGTGCGCTAGAAGATCTGTCCTGCGTGCGGTGAGCGCTAGAAGATCTGTCCTGCCGTCCTGCTGTGCGTGCGGTGAGCGCTAGAAGATCCGTCCTGCGTGCGGTGAGCGCTAGAAGATCCGTCCTGCGTGCGGTGAGCGCTAAAAGATCCTGTCCTGCGTGCGGTGAGCGCTAGAAGATCTGTCCTGCGGTGCGGTGAGCGCGCTAGAAGATCTGTCCTGCGTGCGGTGAGCGCTAGAAGATCTGTCCTGCGTGCGGTGAGCGCTAGAAGATCTGTCTTGCGTGCGGTGAGCGCGCTAGAAGATCTGTCCTGCGTGCGGTGAAGATCGCTAAAAGATCTGTCCTGCGTGTCCTGCGTGAGCGCTAGAAGATCTGTCCTGCGTGCGTGCGCTAGTCCGAGCGCTAGAAGATCCGTCCTGCGTGCGGTGAGCGCTAGAAGATCCGTCCTGAGCGCTGAAGATCGTCCTGCGTGCGGTGAGCGCTAGAAGATCCGTCCTGCGTGCGGTGAGCGCTAGAAGATCCGTCCTGCGTGCGGTGCGGATCCGTGAGCGCTAGAAGATCCGTCCTGCGTGCGGTGAGCACTATATGGTAGCAGGCTTATTAGCTCAGGGAGAAGAGCAGGAAAGATTCAGCCATTCCCTAACACCTAACCATGGTTCCCCAGTGCAGCAGCCAATGAAATCTCATTATTTAGCAGTATAGAACAATCACAAGATTGGAAAGAGACAGAAAGCAGCAATTGTGATTTGCTCAGAATTTGGGAGTGGGATAAGAGTGGCTGTGCAGTACAACATGGTGGTGTGTGATTGGTAGGTGTTGGGCGCTGTACATGGCACATCGGCATGGGGTCAGAACAGTTCCTGGCACTGTGCTGGTATATGGGGAGGTCGGTGCAGGCTGCTATGGGGTATGTTAAGTGTCTAAGCACATGAACTACACACACAGCAGTAGCACATACGTACACGCAGGAAATCACGCTCCACATACGGTGCAGACTACACACACAGCAGGAAATACACGCTCCACACAGACTACACACACAGCAGGAAATACTGGTTTCTCACTCACAGAAGTCTATGCTGGATCTGGCCAGCTGTCACATCCTGCCTGTGGGGCACATGATGGTCATTATCCAGGACTACAGCCCACAACATCATGAGTCCCAGTGAAAGGACAGAGACATGACAGACACACCATGGGAGATCATTACACCAATACCCCCCTCTGTACATTGACTCATCACCTCTACAAACAGAAACTATATAAAAACAAATAAAAATGAAATCCAACTGCTGAACAAAAACCTTCCACCAGGCAGTGCAGCAACACAAGTAGAATGAAGGGCAAAAGCTTTTTATTGTTTCATTTTGGATATTGTAGGGGAGGGTTATACCCCTGCAAGGCTGATGTTTGCCATCTGTATCCCCATTGGGGAGATTTCCCTTCACTTCCTGTTCCCGAGCCAAAAGAGGAAGTGAGAGGAAATACCTACAAAAGGAATCTCTTGGGGACCCCCAGGTCACCAGAACTAGCGCCCCCATTACAGGATTTCCCCTCTATTACTTTTCTAGGAACAATAAACACTGACGTATTCTAATCCATCTCCACTCCATTTTTTCTTTTTAGTTTTGGATGGAGAGGAGACAGACTAGACCCCCTGTTAGGTTTTTGATTGCTGTCTGTGCCCCTCTTAGGAAGAGCCACCTTCCGAATTTTTGCTGTTTACCATTATCATTAAAAAGTAAAAAGACAATCCCATATTTTGGGTTGACATCGGAACAGCATTGGAGGGGAAATCTTCCAATGGGGACACTGGTTCTAGTGGCACCCCTGGATTGCCTTTAGTTACATGACAATAAATAAATGACAATGTTGGCTATTATTGTTATCACACAAATGCCCCCCCCCCCCCCCCAATCAGCTGTTGTCTGTGTCCCATCCCGGTCATCACATTCACAGAGCAGAGATTTTGGGTTGACAACAGCAATGGAGGGGAAATCTTCCAATGGGGACACTGGTTCTAGTGGCACCCCTGGATTGCCTTACTTTGGGGGGATTTCCTCTCACTTTCTGTTTTGGCTCTGGGGCAGTAAGTGAAAAGAAATCCCCTCAATGGACACAGATGGCAAAATAAAAACTGACCAGGGTTATAATCCTCGCTTAAACCATCCAAAATGAAAAAAAAAAAAAAAAAAAACCCTCAAAAAAAAAAAAAAAAACCCCCCAAAAAACAAAAACAAAAAGGTTTTGCGTTTAGTTACTCTGTAATAAAAGACAATGTTGGCTATTATTGTTATCACACAAATGCCCCCCCCCCCCCCCTTCAGCCGTTGTCTGTGTCCCATCCCGGCCCTCACATTCACAGAGCAGTGTTACGAGGGTCTGCATTCACCTCCCACCACACTCAGATACAGCGACCTCCCTTCCTGGACCTCCATCACCCCAATAACAGACCAAGCACAGTCCAGATACACGCGGTCTCCTTTTTTTTTTTTTTTTTAATGAAATCCACACAAAGGTTGGTGATAAAAAAATCGCATATTGTGTAATGGTTGTGATGAGACGTGCTGCCCCGGTGAGGGAGCGTGACGTGGTTTCAGTTGCGGCGGATTGTTGTGACATCACAGAATAAAAAGGCAATAAAATAGGATGATGTGCCCCAACATACCTGTGTAGGAAACCATGGGGGATGGGCGTGGAGGAGTTGTATTCCCAAACTAAAAAGGTGTGGCGTTGTAACCGGCGTAGGACAGAATAAAATGTCAATAAATAAGGAGCCCACAGTATAACATACATGTTCCGTGGGATAATACATGGCAGTATCAGAAGTCAGTGTGGCCTTTCCAAAAATACACAATTTATAAGGTTTGGCTACGGTAAGGGGCGAGCGGACTACATGCACTCTTAAAAAAATAGCGAGGATCATTTCTGTTGACATTCAGATGGACGTAACTTTACCCCACCGCTGTTGTTGGAGGAAGAAAATGTGCGGGAAATTGTCAGCTCGGAGATGGGTTCATTCACACAACACAGTATTGGGGGCTCGCCCGGGATTGGTGGCAAGCAGGAAGGCAGCTGGGACAATCAAGCTATATACATTATATACACGTAGATGGTTCTGCTACACAAATACTGTGTGACCACGCAGCAAGGATGGAACCTCGACAACGGCTTGGTTGGAGCCCGGGAGACAACCCTTCTCATGGCGGCCACTCATTGGATTTCTCTCTCTTTGGCACTTGCCAGCGTCCCATGAGAAAACGCCAAATGAAGTCCACAGATTTCAGTCTACACACGTGATCCCGTCCATGATCCTTGACAAATAAAACACAGGCTGAGGGGCCACTCCAGCTGGCCACGTAACATGCCCTCTTCTCCACCTCTGCTGCAATACTAACCCCAACCATCAGAGGTGTCCCCATCCACGTCAGTGTGGTATTCAATACTGCTGATACACGGAATTCTAGAACCACGGGTAGCGATCGTTATGACGAATGATATAAATAGGCTAGCAGGGTTACATGGCGTATAATGTACATGGAAAGAAGGCGGGGGCTTGTTTGGCGACACGAGAGCACAGAAGGAGGAAGGCAGTCTGTGTCGGATTATCGCTGCTTTAGCAAAGCTCTGTACATGGCAAATCCCAGGACGGCAAACACCGTGGCACCAAAACTCGCTCGTAACCAAAACGTGGAACCTTTAAGTTCGGCCTGTGACATGTGCCTGTGACAGGGAGAGAAAACAGAAAATAAAAGCCATGTTACTCTGTGTCCAGGGAAGGAGGAGAACAAGATGGTTAGTAATGCCTAAAGGACCAGGACAGAGAACGTGCACTACCCCAAATCACCAGAGTGAGCTCTGTAATCCCCCCCCCCCCCAAAAACGGAGCGAAGGAAACACTCACAAATGGGTCTTCTACTGGGTTCACTCCTGACTGAGTGACAGGACCGATCTCACACCATGGGGGAAGAGACAACCCCTCATACATTGTAAGAAGGTACAATTCCTGACTGAGTGACAGGACCGATCTCACACCATGGGGGAAGACACAACCCCTCATACATTGTAAGAAGGTACAATTCCTGACTGAGTGACAGGACCGATCTCACACCATAGAGGAAGACACAACCCCTCATACATTGTAAGAAGGTACAATTCCTGACTGAGTGACAGGACTGATCTCACACCATGGGGGAAGAGACAACCCCTCATACATTGTAACAAGGTACAATTCCTGACTGAGTGACAGGACCGATCTCACACCATGGGGGAAGAGACAACCCCTCATACATTGTAACAAGGTACAATTCCTGACTGAGTGACAGGACCGATCTCACACCATGGGGGAAGAGACAACCCCTCATACATTGTAACAAGGTACAATTCCTGACTGAGTGACAGGACCGATCTCACACCATAGAGGAAGACACAACCCCTCATACATTGTAAGAAGGTACAATTCCTGACTGAGTGACAGGACCGCGATCTCACACCATGGGGGAAGACACAACCCCTCATACATTGTAACAAGGTACAATTCCTGACTGAGTCACAGGACCGATCTCACACCATGGGGGAAGAGACAACCCCTCATACATTGTAACAAGGTACAATTCCTGACTGAGTGACAGGACCGATCTCACACCATGGGGGAAGAGACAACCCCTCATACATTGTAAGAAAGGTACAATTCCTGACTGAGTGACAGGACCGATCTCACACCATGGGGGAAGAGACAACCCCTCATACATTGTAAGAAGGTACAATTCCTGACTGAGTGACAGGACCGATCTCACACCATGGGGGAAGAGACAACCCCTCATACATTGTAAGAAGGTACAATTCCTGACCGAGTGACAGGACCGATCTCACACCATGGGGGGAAGAGACAACCCCTCATACATTGTAAGAAGGTACAATTCCTGACTGAGTGACAGGACCGATCTCACACCATGGGGGAAGAGACAACCCCTCATACATTGTAAGAAGGTACAATTCCTGACTGAGTGACAGGACCAATCTCACACCATAGAGGAAGAGACAACCCCTCATACATTGTAAGAAGGTACAATTCCTGTGAGTGACAGGACCGATCTCACACCATGAGGAAGAGACAACCCCTCATACATTGTAAGAAGGTACAATTCCTGACTGAGTGACAGGACCGATCTCACACCATGGGGGAAGAGACAACCCCTCATACATTGTAAGAAGGTACAATTCCTGACCGAGTGACAGGACCGATCTCACACCATGGGGGAAGAGACAACCCCTCATACATTGTAAGAAGGTACAATTCCTGACTGAGTGACAGGACCGATCTCACACCATGGAGGAAGAGACAACCCCTCATACATTGTAAGAAGGTACAATTCCTGACTGAGTGACAGGACCGATCTCACACCATGGAGGAAGACACAACCCCTCATACATTGTAAGAAGGTACAATTCCTGACTGAGTGACAGGACCGATCTCACACCATAGAGGAAGACACAACCCCTCATACATTGTAAGAAGGTACAATTCCTGACTGAGTGACAGGACCGATCTCACACCATGGGGGAAGAGACAACCCCTCATACATTGTAAGAAGGTACAATTCCTGACTGAGTGACAGGACCGATCTCACACCATGGGGGAAGAGACAACCCCTCATACATTGTAAGAAGGTACAATTCCTGACCGAGTGACAGGACCGATCTCACACCATGGGGGAAGAGACAACCCCTCATACATTGTAAGAAGGTACAATTCCTGACCGAGTGACAGGACCGATCTCACACCATGGGGGAAGAGACAACCCCTCATACATTGTAAGAAGGTACAATTCCTGACTGAGTGACAGGACCGATCTCACACCATGGGGAAGACACAACCCCTCATACATTGTAAGAAGGTACAATTCCTGACTGAGTGACAGGACCGATCTCACACCATGGGGGAAGAGACAACACCTCATACATTGTAAGAAGGTACAATTCCTGACTGAGTGACAGGACCGATCTCACACCATGGGGGAAGAGACAACCCCTCATACATTGTAAGAAGGTACAATTCCTGACTGAGTGACAGGACCGATCTCACACCATGGGGGAAGACACAACCCCTCATACATTGTAAGAAGGTACAATTCCTGACTGAGTGACAGGACCGATCTCACACCATGGGGGAAGACACAACCCCTCATACATTGTAAGAAGGTACAATTCCTGACTGAGTGACAGGACCGATCTCACACCATAGAGGAAGACACAACCCCTCATACATTGTAAGAAGGTACAATTCCTGACTGAGTGACAGGACCGATCTCACACCATGGGGGAAGACACAACCCCTCATACACTGTAAGAAGGTACAATTCCTGACTGAGTGACAGGACCGATCTCACACCATGGGGAAGACACAACCCCTCATACATTGTAAGAAGGTACAATTCCTGACTGAGTGACAGGACCGATCTCACACCATGGGGGAAGAGACAACCCCTCATACATTGTAAGAAGGTACAATTCCTGACTGAGTGACAGGACCGATCTCACACCATGGGGGAAGACACAACCCCTCATACATTGTAAGAAGGTACAATTCCTGACTGAGTGACAGGACCGATCTCACACCATAGAGGAAGACACAACCCCTCATACATTGTAAGAAGGTACAATTCCTGACCGAGTGACAGGACCGATCTCACACCATGGGGGAAGAGACAACCCCTCATACATTGTAAGAAGGTACAATTCCTGACTGAGTGACAGGACCGATCTCACACCATGGAGGAAGACACAACCCCTCATACATTGTAAGAAGGTACAATTCCTGACTGAGTGACAGGACCGATCTCACACCATGGGGGAAGAGACAACCCCTCATACATTGTAAGAAGGTACAATTCCTGACTGAGTGACAGGACTGATCTCACACCGTGGGGGAAGACACAACCCCTCATACATTGTAAGAAGGTACAATTCCTGACTGAGTGACAGGACTGATCTCACACCATGGGGGAAGGGACAACCCCTCATACATTGTAACAAGGTACAATTCCTGACTGAGTGACAGGACCGATCTCACACCATGGGGGAAGACACAACCCCTCATACATTGTAAGAAGGTACAATTCCTGACTGAGTGACAGGACCGATCTCACACCATGGGGGAAGAGACAACCCCTCATACATTGTAACAAGGTACAATTCCTGACTGAGTGACAGGACCCGATCTCACACCATGGAGGAAGACACAACCCCTCATACATTGTAAGAAGGTACAATTCTTGACTGAGTGACAGGACCGATCTCACACCATGGGGGAAGAGACAACCCCTCATACATTGTAAGAAGGTACAATTCCTGACTGAGTGACAGGACTGATCTCACACCATGGGGGAAGGGACAACCCCTCATACATTGTAAGAAGGTACAATTCCTGACCGAGTGACAGGACCGATCTCACATAATATGGGCAGTTATAGAGATAATACTGAGATGTAGGATATGGTCTGCCCCATCACAACGTTCTCCACCCTTCTTGTCTCAGGCAGGCAATCTAGTGTCATTCCATGCAAGAAGAAACTGTCTGTGAGTTACTGACTGCAAGACACAACAAACTGCACATCTGTATCCATAGCGGGTAAGTCGGCCCATGCTTCTATATTGAGGGGGGACAAAAAAAAGAGTTTGATGAAGAGAGAGATGGAGGAGGACATCCGGGACTCTCCTGGTTCTGTCAGAGGTCACATTGTGATATCAGAGAGTCTGAGGTGCACCCCCATATGTTCTACTACAACCTTTGTGAGGATAGGGAGGCCATGAGGCTTGGTGTAAATGGCAGCAACATCAGTGTCTGACCACTCCCAACACAAGAGGGGACCAATGATGGGGCGCACCCTCTGAAAAACGGCCACTCCTCCTGTGCACCCCCATATGTTCTACTACAACCTTTGTGAGGATAGGGAGGCCATGAGGCTTGGTGTAAATGGCACCAACATCTCATCAGTGTCTGACCACTCCCAACACAAGAGGGCCAATGATGGGGTGGACCTCTGAGAAACGGCCACTCCTTCCGTGCACCACCATATGTTCTACCACAACCTTTCTTGTCTCAGGCAGGCAATCTAGTGTCATGTGAGGCTAGGGAGGCCATGAGGCTTGGTGTATGATGGCACCAATGTCTCATCAGTGTCTGACACTCCCAACTCAAGAGGGCCAATGATGGGGTGGACCTCTGAGAAATCAGGCCACTCTGAGGTGCACCACCATATGTTCTACTACAACCTTTGTGAGGATAGGGAGGCCATGAAGCTTGGTGTAAATGGCAGCAACGTCTCATCAGTGTCTGACCACTCCCAACACAAGAGGGCCAATGATGGGGCGGACCTCTGAGAAACGGCCACTTCCCGTGCACCACCATATGTTCTACTACAACCTTTGTGAGGATAGGGAGGCCATGAGGCTTGGTGTAAATGGCACCAACATCTCATCAGTGTCTGACCACTCCCAACACAAGAGGGCCAATGACAGGGCGGACCTCTGAGAAACGGCCACTCCTCCCGTGCATCAGCCAAAATCTTCCAATTGAGACGTTCCAAGGTCTGAGAATCAGGACAGAGGTGGAAGGACTGCCAGTACCTCAATATTTGGACATTCAGGAGCCGGTCTCCAGGAAGGGGGGCATGCATGGTTCAGTATGGGCTCAGCAGGGGCAGTACTTCTAGTGTTAGTACTCAGCAGGACACACCCCTCAGAGGGCACACATGGCAGGTACCTGGCAGGGTCTAGTGCTGGGTCAGCAGAGGTGTCCATGAAGATGGAATATTCCATGTGGGAGACGGGGTGGACTTGGTGTCCCAGGCTGCTGTCTGCATCTACAATCAGATACTCCCCCAACACATCCAGCCAGGCTCTCAACCTTGTACACACACGGGACAGGGAATGGGGTCAGGGACGGCTCCGAGACACCCCCCACCCTCACAATACATCTTATGTTCAACATGCTGGATACGCTCTGCAGGGGACGTCCTATTCCGGGATATCACCCAATCCCAGCATTGCCTGGGCTGGGAGTTGGTGTTGGTACCCCGCCGTTCTGAGAGGAACCCTCCACACCCCCCCTCACGGCACAGAGACATGAACAATCATCTACCCCGTATACAGCGACTGGTCCAGGAGACAGCCCTCTACATCCTCCACTGGGCACAACAGATACCTGAAGAGCCTGCGCACCCAACAACCACATGAACAATGGATGCACCCTCTGCCCTGCTGGCACTCTATTGGCTGAGTAGTTGGAGGAGACACAATCTACTCATCCCGTCCCCAGAAGGCGGCCCCAGCACATCGAACACACCCACAAGTCACTGCTGTGACGGGATTGGAGACTCGGGGACACACTGGGCCCCAATATTCCCAGACTGAGGCCGGATCTCCGTGTGCAGCCTGTGTGTATTACAACGGGGCCCAGAGAGTCCAAACCTCCCATACAGAAGGACTACAAACCTCAGCCCCACTAGGACCGCAAACCTCCCATACAGAAGGACTACAAACCTCAGCCCCACTAGGACCACCAACCTCCCATACAGAAGGACTACAAACCTCAGCCCCACTAGGACCGCCAACCTCCCATACAGAAGGACTACAAACCTCAGCCCCACTAGGACCACCAACCTCCCATACAGAAGGACTACAAACCTCAGCCCCACTAGGACCGCCAACCTCCCATACAGACAACCCCATATAGAAGGACTACAAACCTCAGCCCCACTAGGACCGCAAACCTCCCATACAGACAACCCCATATAGAAGGACTACAAACCTCAGCCCCACTAGGACCGCAAACCTCCCATACAGACAACCCCATATAGAAGGACTACAAACCTCAGCCCCACTAGGACCGCAAACCTCCCATACAGACAACCCCATATAGGGACTACAAACCTCAGCCCCACTAGGACCGCAAACCTCCCATACAGACAACCCCATATAGAAGGACTACAAACCTGAGCCCCACTAGGACCGCAAACCTCCCATACAGACAACCCCATATAGAAGGACTACAAACCTCAGTCCCACTAGGACTGCAAACCTCCCATACAGACAACCCCATATAGAAGGACTACAAACCTCAGTCCCACTAGGACCGCAAACCTCACAATTACACTGCAAAAACCGGGAGGGGGAGGGGAGGTCAGTACAGGGAATTAATTCTTACATGCACAGATAAATTCTGTTAGAAGTACAGAGCAACACCAGCAGACCATCACACCCTACAGACTCCGCCCTGGCTGGGGGACCACACCATGCTATGGAATACTGTGACACCAGGAGTAAGGCCCCGGCACCGGGAGTAAGGCCCCGGCACCGGGATTAGGGCCCCGGCACCGGGATTAGGCCCCGGCACCGGGATTAAGGCCCCGGCACCGGGATTAAGGCCCCGGCACCGGGATTAAGGCCCCACCGGGATTAGGGCCCCGACATCGGGATTAAGGCCCCCCGGGACAATACAGACAACCCCATATAGGAGGACTACAAATATGGGATCTTTGGACTTGCCGTAAAATCCATTCCTTGTAGTTCATTTAGGGACACAGCAACCTAATAACTGTTGGGTTATAGTGCCGCCTGCATGAGGATTGGGAAACTGGCAAACAAAAAAAAACAAAACAAAAAAAAAAAACAAACAATCAGCCTGGTATAACCCCCTCGAAAGCCCCGACACCGGGAGTAAGGCCCCGACACCGGGAGTAAGGCCCCCGACACCGGGGTGAGTAAGGCCCCCGACACCGGGAGTAAGGCCCCCGACACCGGGATAAGGCCCCCGACACCGGGATAAGGCCCCCGACACCGGGAGTAAGGCCCCGACACCGGGAGTAAGGCCCCGACACCGGGAGTAAGGCCCCGACACCGGGAGTAAGGCCCCGACACCGGGAGTAAGGCCCCGACACCGGGATTAGGTCCTGACAACCCCGGAAGGGACTGGACAGTATTTATTTACACATTTCTCATAAAATATGAGAAATAAAGGAGACTTCTGTCCGGACTGGATGATGGTGGAACCCCCCAAGGACACCCAGGTCCGAGGGGTGACACCCTGTACAAGGCATTGTGATACTAATGACCTCCGGGGATCGCTCCATAGGACATGATTGGGAGGGAAAGGTTAGGTGTAGAGGGGAGACGTGGTGCAGCAGGAGGACAGTGACAGTCGCCCAGACAAACTGAAAGGAACACCTGCCGGGAGAGAAGAGACACACAGGAACTGAACACAGGCAGAGCAGAGGATTCTGGGAAGAAAAGATTGAACGGATGTGAGCAGTACAGGAAGTGGGAGGCATCCTCCATGTGACCAAACATGGGTGCAGGGAACCCGCTCCCTTCATGCCGAGGACACACGCCCTTCATTTCCTGTTGCTAGGACCATTTGTCATCATAGCAGGGACTGGGGGGAGGGGGGATCAGAGGGTCCAAGCCATGCACACTGCATCCGAAACAACAACGGTTTAAGCTGGAGTTGGTTTGCAGATATAAACTTCCTGAACTGGTGTCTACACCCCACCCCAGATCTACCTGCCCAACATTTGGTGCCCTCATCTGTTTTATTACCCTCCTGCTGCGCCTGCCATCACAGGCTGTGCGTGGAGCGGTGTGGGAGGACCTCCTCAGCTCTGGTGGGCGGAGCATCCCAGACAAGCAGGATAACTCAGTCTCATTATAGGTGGAGTTCTTCTAATCAGCTGGACAAGCTCAAACATGGGATCTTTGGACTTGCCGTAAAATCCATTCCTTGTAGTTCCTTTAGGGACACAGCAACCTAATAACTGTTGGGTTATAGTGCCGCCTGCATGAGGATTGGGAAACTGGCAAACAAAAAAAAAAAACAAACAATCAGCCTGGTATAACCCCCTCCTACTCCCAGCATGCTTTAGTTTGGTGGAAAAGCATGATCACGACACCGAGTGGTGGGATTGGAGTTCCTCAATGAACTACAAGACAAGGAGTTTCCTGTAAGTCCAACAATCCCGTTGTCTGCAGTGTTCATTGAGAAACAACGAGGTCCCGAGCCCGCCTGGACATAAAGAAGTCCAACTGAGGGGTGAGGAACAGCAACAAAACACGAAGAGGACCACAGCAAACCAGAAGAACTGGGAACGCCTGCAGCCCATAGATGCCTGAGGGACCTCATACCTGAAGATGACACCAGAGGCGGCCATGACATCCACCAGGTAGAACTTAGGAGTGTGAGTAGAAGTTCAAGTGTCAGCCAAGCAAACAGTTGCTGGATGCCAAAGAGCCAAGACGCACTTACAGATCTAGTAGAGTGCACCTCCACAGGACGGGGTGGAACCTGAACCTTAAGGCCATAAGCTTTGATCATTGTTTGTCTGAGCCACCAGAAATGGTGGGCTGAGAGGGAGGTCCAGAACACAGCGGGCCAGGTAGACCCACAGCACAAACTATATCCAGGCAATGGAGCGCGATCTCCCGCTGGTTAAATGGAGGGGGTTATTTTATTATTATTTCAGGTACTTATATGGTAATTTATGCAGCGCTGTATATATACATTGTACACTCACATCAGTCCCCGCCCCCGAGGAGCGTACAATCTATGGTCACTAACTCACATTCATACCTACACATACTAGGGACAATTGGGCCCGGAACCAATTCACCTCCCAGCATGTCTTTGGAGTGTGGGAGAAAACCAGAGAAACCAAATGAAGCTTAGCAGACTTTAGGAAGACTAGCCACAGAAAATAAAGTCTTTGAAAGTAGCTCCGCTTGTTTGTCCTTGGGACCCATAAACACAGGCGTGTTCTCCACAAGGATCCTCAGCACCTTGTTAAGAGGACATATTGCTGAATCCACGCTGGGAATGGCCCACTGCGTATAAAGGTCTCCTCCAATAGATATAGGGATACCAACCATTAGGGAGGGGTGAGCAGCCTTCTCAGGACTTTCCCCGTCCCCATAAAAGATGGCAGGGAACAGGGATGCACCAGAAAGGGCTTGGTGACCCCTGGAGACAACACCCGACAGAGCTAAGGAAGAGTCCAAGGATGGCAGGGAACAGGGGTGCACCAGAAATGGCTTTGGTGACCCCTGGAGACAACACTCGACAGAGCTAAGGAAGAGTCCAAGGATGGCAGGGAACAGGGGTGCACCAGAAAGGGCTTGGTGACCCCTGGAGACAACACTCGACAGAGCTAAGGAAGAGTCCAAGGATGGCAGGGAACAGGGGTGCACCAGAAAGGGCTTGGTGACCCCTGGAGACAACACCCGACAGAGCTAAGGAAGAGTCCAAGGATGGCAGGGAACAGGGGTGCACCAGAAAGGGCTTGGTGATCCCTTGAGACAACACTCGACAGAGCTAAGGAAGAGTCCAAGGATGGCAGGGAACAGGGGTGCACCAGAAAGGGCTTGGTGACCCCTGGAGACAACACTCGACAGAGCTAAGGAAGAGTCCAAGGATGGCAGGGAAACAGGGGTGCACCAGAAAGGGCTTGGTGACCCCTGGAGACAACACTCAACAGAGCTAAGGAAGAGTCCAAGGATGGCAGGGAACAGGGGTGCACCAGAAAGGGCTTGGTGACCCCTGGAGACAACACTCGACAGAGCTAAGGAAGAGTCCAAGGATGGCAGGGAACAGGGGTGCACCAGAAAGGGCTTGGTGACCCCTGGAGACAACACTCGACAGAGCTAAGGAAGAGTCTAAGGATGGCAGGGAACAGGGGTGCACCAGAAAGGGCTTGGTGACCCCTGGAGACAACACTCGACAGAGCTAAGGAAGAGTCCAAGGATGGCAGGGAACAGGGGTGCACCAGAAAGGGCTTGGTGACCCCTGGAGACAACACTCGACAGAGCTAAGGAAGAGTCCAAGGATGGCAGGGAACAGGGATGCACCAGAAAGGGCTTGGTGACCCCTGGAGACAACACCCGACAGAGCTAAGGAAGAGTCCAAGGATGGCAGGGAACAGGGGTGCACCAGAAATGGCTTGGTGACCCCTGGAGACAACACTCGACAGAGCTAAGGAAGAGTCCAAGGATGGCAGGGAACAGGGGTGCACCAGAAAGGGCTTGGTGACCCCTGGAGACAACACTCGACAGAGCTAAGGAAGAGTCCAAGGATGGCAGGGAACAGGGATGCACCAGAAAGGGCTTGGTGACCCCTGGAGACAACACCCGACAGAGCTAAGGAAGAGTCCAAGGATGGCAGGGAACAGGGGTGCACCAGAAATGGGCTTGGTGACCCCTGGAGACAACACTCGACAGAGCTAAGGAAGAGTCCAAGGATGGCAGGGAACAGGGGTGCACCAGAAAGGGCTTGGTGACCCCTGGAGACAACACTCGACAGAGCTAAGGAAGAGTCCAAGGATGGCAGGGAACAGGGGTGCACCAGAAATGGCTTGGTGACCCCTGGAGACAACACTCGACAGAGCTAAGGAAGAGTCCAAGGATGGCAGGGAACAGGGGTGCACCAGAAAGGCCTTGGTGATCCCTTGAGACAACACTCGACAGAACTAAGGAAGAGTCCAAGGATGGCAGGGAATCAAGCAGAGGATACAATTCCAGGCTGTCAGGACCTTCGGTGGGTGCAGGGCAGGCAGTCCTAGAGCTGCCAGAAGATCGGGAGCTGGTGGGAACCGGTACACCATGACTGCTCCCTATCATCTTGGATCCAACATGTTCTACTACAAAGCTGGAACAATGTGGCTCAAGGTACAGCGGCCTGGAGTGCTCACAAACCAGCTGCTGGTAGCAGGAGAGGTTCAGGAGGCCAGAGGTCACCTGGTCACTGATGGCAGGGAGCAAGGATCAACCGAGAACAGTTCCCATGCCGTGGCAGGAAAGAACTTCCTCAATGCCGACTGCCAGGAACATGAGCGTGGAGCACTCTACCCAGATGACGTCAGTCCCTCAACATGAACACTTTCTGAGGAAAACCAGGAATTGGAATGGTGCCATCAGGGCCTCCTAACATGGTGAGTCTTCATAGACATTCGAGGGGATGTCATGGCTCCGCACTGAATATGTGCCCCATGACTGGCTTTTACCTGAATACTCAGGTCTGGAAAGTGCCCCATAGCAGTGCCCAAAGGTCACATTCCAGGCAAGACCTGTGATTGGCTGTCCAGCCCAGGAAAGTTTCCAAAGCTACTGCCGAGGATATATTTGTAGAGAGCCCAGCTCTGGATTTCTGCAGACTAAAGGCATCCATCCTCCGAGGACACGGCTAATAAAACTGAAGGCATGCTGGGAGTGGGAGGGGTTATGCCTGGCAGGTCATGGGTCATTTGTCAGTATCCATATCCTCCTGTATGTGGCAGTATAACCCAACAGTCACTGAACTGCTGGGACTTCCAATGAACAGGTAACACACACAAGTGCTACATGTTACTAGAAGATGCTTGAGAGCCGTCCTGACAGGAAGACATCCGTGTGCTGGGAAATGACCTCCCCGCAATGCTCAGATCCACTCCTCACACCGTCACCTATACATTCATATGTAGAAGTCAGACAATGTGTGTACTGTACAGAGAGCACATGGAGAGGACTTCTACCCTAGGATGACCATCACACGGCCCATGGACTGTGTTCCTACATACACCCATCCATGCACATGAGAGTGTATATAAACAACTATTCCATACATGCCATGCATACAGAGCACACACAGACATACACACCATGTATACAGAGCACACACAGACATACACGCCATGTATACAGAGCACACACAGACATACACGCCATGTATACAGAGCACACACAGACATACATGCCATGTATACAGAGCACACACAGACATACACGCCATGTATACAGAGCACACACAGACATACACGCCATGCATACAGAGCACACACAGACATACACGCCATGCATACAGAGCACACACATACATACACGCCATGTATACAGAGCACACACAGACATACACTCCATGCATACAGAGCAAACACAGACATGCACAACATGTATACAGAGCACACACAGACATGCACGCCATGCATACAGAGCACACACAGACATACACGCCATGCATACAGAGCACACACAGACATACACGCCATGTATACAGAGCACACACAGACATACACGCCATGTATACAGAGCACACACAGACATACACGCCATGTATACAGAGCACACACAGACATACACGCCATGTATACAGAGCACACACAGACATACACGCCATGTATACAGAGCACACACAGACATACACGCCATGTATACAGAGCACACACAGACATACACGCCATGTATACAGAGCACACACAGACATACACAGCCATACACGCCATACAGAGCACACACAGACATACACGCCATGTATACAGAGCACACACAGACATACACGCCATGTATACAGAGCACACACAGACATACACGCCATGTATACAGAGCACACACAGACATACACGCCATGTATACAGAGCACACACAGACATACACGTCATGTATACAGAGCACACACAGACATACACGTCATGTATACAGAGCACGCACAGACATACACGCCATGTATACAGAGCACACACAGACATACACGCCATGTATACAGAGCACACACAGACATACACGTCATGTATACAGAGCACACACAGACATACACGTCATGTATACAGAGCACACACAGACATACACACCATGTATACAGAGCACACACAGACATACACACCATGTATACAGAGCACACACAGACATACACGCCATGCATACAGAGCACGCACAGACATACACTCCATGTATACAGAGCACACACAGACATACACGCCATGTATACAGAGCACACACAGACATACACTCCATGTATACAGAGCACACACAGACATACACGCCATGCATACAGAGCACACACAGACATACACGCCATGTATACAGAGCACACACAGACATACACGCCATGTATACAGAGCACACACAGACATACACGCCATGTATACAGAGCACACACAGACATACACGTCATGTATACAGAGCACACACAGACATACACGTCATGTATACAGAGCACACACAGACATACACACCATGTATACAGAGCACGCACAGACATACACGCCATGCATACAGAGCACACATAGACATACACGCCATGTATACAGAGCACACATAGACATACACTCCATGTATACAGAGCACACACAGACATACACGCCATGTATACAGAGCACACACAGACATACACGCCATGTATACAGAGCACACACAGACATACACGTCATGTATACAGAGCACACACAGACATACACACCATGTATACAGAGCACACACAGACATACATACCCATGTATACAGAGCACACACAGACATACACGCCTGCCCTCTCACCCCAGGCTGGAGACTGAGACATGCACGGCTCTCTGGAATAAACAGTACACGCTGTAATACATGTATGATGCGGTATATTAGTGTATTAGATTGTCAGCAGTCTTGCCCACACAGCTGACATTAGCGTGTTAGGGTCATGTATACATGCGTTAGTGTGAGGCGCCGTGTGCAGGCAGAGAATAAAATAAAGACCTGTTGACAACGGCGGTGAAGAGTTTGTTCTTTACGGCCTGGAGGAGGTCAGAGTGGAGCAGATTCTGACACAGGCAGAACGTACACCTATTGCAGGAGCAGAGACAGCGTAACCGGGCGTGACTGCGGAGACACACAGAAGAGAAGGGTCAGAGCCTACACCTACTACATACATGTACAGTTGTGTCCAAAATTATTCAACCCCCACTGAAATTGAGTGTTTTGTCCAGGGACATTGCTTTTGATCATTCAGTCATCTTGCTTACATTTACATTAAAGGGAACTTGTACAGACAAATATAACAGGACAGTTATAATGAAATAACCAAATGTCTTTTCTGTGCACACAGCATTATCAGATTCAACCCCCAAGGGTCAGAGCCTAGTACCTACTACATCCTTTTACAGTTATACACAGCCTTTAAACGTGAAGCATAGCTTGCCAAGTGTCCAGCGATCTACCGGTATCTCCTCCCCATTCTTCATGGGCAAAGGCCTCCAGTTCAGTCACATTCTTAGGCTTGCGCACTGCAACTGCTTTCTTTAAGTCCCACCAGAGGTTCTCAATCGGGTCTGGTGACTGCGATGACACACAGAAAAATGTTCAGAGCCTACACCTGCTACATACATGTACATGGATTGGGATCATTGTCCACACCAGCCTCTGCAACCATGCTCTAGTGGACTTGGAGGTATGCCTACACCCAACCCCCAAGCCATCCCGTGTGTGACCCGACTGCATCACGTTTCCACCTAATATCTCCTGGTACTGAAGAGACAGCATGGTACCTTGCACACGCTGAAGCTTCCCTGTACTGCAGAAGCACAAACAGCCCCAAAGCATAATTGACCCTCCCTACATGCTACTACATAGGCAAGGTGTTCTTTTCATCATAGGCCTTGTTCACCTCCCCCAATCACTAGCGTTGATCCATGGGCCCAAACAGTTCTAATTTTGTTTCATCAGTCCACAGAACACTATCCCACAACTTTTGTGGTTTGTCCACATGGCTTTTGGCATACTGCAGTCGACTCTTCTTTATTCTTTGGAGACAGCAAGGGGGTACGCCTGGGAGTTCTGGCACGGAGGCCTTCATTACGCAGTGTGCGTCTTATTGTCTGGGCTGAAACTTCTGTACCCACATCTGACAAATCTTTTCTCAGTTCCTCAGCAGTCACACGGGGACTTCTCTCCACTCTACGCTTCAGGTAGCGCACAGCAGTCGAAGTCAGCATCTTCTTTCTGCCACGACCAGGTAGCGTTTCAACAGTCCCCGCCTTGAATTTGCAATTACGCCCTACAGGTGTCCTTGGACTCCACCAATCCCCGCCATCCCAGCTACGCTCTACTCCCCTGGACTTCTCTTCCTTCCCCATCCCAGCTACACTCTGCTAGAAGGAGCTGAGTATCACAGTCATTTTTAAAGCTGCCCTAATTGGTGCCCGGGGTGTTTTCAATACATCCCCGCCATCCCTTCATAGCTACGCTCCTTCCTGGAAGAGAAATCACCCACTCCACATCCCCCTGCCATTCCATGTCCTTCACCATGCTTGTAACCACACCAGTAAATGTCTACATCCCCCTGCCATCCCAGCTTTTACGCTGCTACTTGGGCTTATTATGCTTGACCTCCCCGCCATCCCAGGTGCTTTTCAATACCGATGGACTCCACCTCCCCGCCACCCCAGCTACAGCTGGTACTCCCGGGGTTGAATACATTGTGGCCATCCCAGCTAAGAACCATTTACTCCTGGGACTACACAAACCCCGCCATCCCATTTTACGTTGCTACTCCCGGGTACTTACAACCCCGCCATCCCAGCTACGATTTACTCTGGGACAATCCAAATCCCCACTATAGTCCATCCCCTACGCATTGGGGGTTCCAGGGACACAACTCCATGATACACGCCTACACCTCCCCCATCCCGCCATCCCGCTACCTCTACCCCGGGACTCCACCTCCCCCGCCATCCCAGCAGGACGCTCCCGGGGACTCCACCTCCCCGCCATCCCATACAGCTACGCTCTACTCCGGGACACACACAAGATCCCCGTCCAAGCTACGCTACTACTCCCGGGGACTCCACATCCCCTACACCATCCCAGCTACGCTCTACTCCCGGGACTCCACATCCCCCGAGCCATCCCAGCTACGCTCTAGACACACAGAAGACTCCACCTCCCCTACATACATGTATCCCAGATACACGCTCTACTCCCCCGGCCATCCCGACATCCGTCCGGGACTCCTCCCCCCACCACCCCAGCTACGCTCCTCTCCAGGGACTCCTCCCCAGCTACTCTGGGGCTCATCCCCCACCATCCCAGCTACGCTCCACTCCAGGGACTCCTCCACTCCACATCCCCCGCCATCCCAGCTACGCTCTACTCCCGGGACTCCACATCCCCGCCATCCCAGCTACGCTACGGGACTCCACCTCCCCCGGGACGCTCCTCCGGGACTCCACATCCCCCACCATCCCAGCTACGCTCCTCTCCAGGGACTCCTCCACTCCACATCCCCGCCATCCCAGCTATGATCAACTGCTGGGAGTGTGATATGATCAATAATCTCCAGAGCCAAAATCTACAACCCCCTCTCATTGTAAGATCTATGAGGATCCTCTCCTAGGAGGGGCTCTCTCCTGATAAGATATGAGGGGGATCCCCACCATATACCAGAACTACAACCTACTCTAGGGTCCCTGATTATAAGATATGAGGGGGATCCCCCACCATATACCAGAACTACAACCTACAGACCTGTATAGGGTCCCTCTCATTACTGGATATAAGGGGGATTCCCCACCACAGACCTGTATAGGGTCCCTCTCATTATTGGATATAAGGGGGATTCCCCACCACAGACCTGTACAGGGTCCCTCTCATTATTGGATATAAGGGGGATTCCCCACCACAGACCTGTACAGGGTCCCTCTCATTATTGGATATAAGGGGGATTCCCCACCACAGACCTGTATAGGGTCCCTCTCATTATTGGATATAAGGGGGATTCCCCACCACAGACCTGTATAGGGTCCCTCTCATTATTGGATATAAGGGGGATTCCCCACCACAGACCTGTATAGGGTCCCTCTCATTACTGGATATAAGGGGGATTCCCCACCACAGACCTGTATAGGGGGATCCCTCTCATTATTGGATATAAGGGGGATTCCCCACCACAGACCTGTATAGGGTCCCTCTCATTATTGGATATAAGGGGGATTCCCCACCACAGACCTGTATAGGGTCCCTCTCATTATTGGATATAAGGGGGATTCCCCACCACAGACCTGTATAGGGTCCCTCTCATTATTGGATATAAGGGGGATTCCCCACCACAGACCTGTATAGGGTCCCTCTCATTATTGGATATAAGGGGGATTCCCCACCACAGACCTGTATAGGGTCCCTCTCATTATTGGATATAAGGGGGATTCCCCACCACAGACCTGTATAGGGTCCCTCTCATTATTGGATATAAGGGGGATTCCCCACCACAGACCTGTATAGGGTCCCTCTCATTATTGGATATAAGGGGGATTCCCCACCACAGACCTGTATAGGGTCCCTCTCATTATTGGATATAAGGGGGATTCCCCACCACAGACCTGTATAGGGTCCCTCTCATTATTGGATATAAGGGGGATTCCCCACCACAGACCTGTATAGGGTCCCTCTCATTATTGGATATAAGGGGGATTCCCCACCACAGACCTGTATAGGGTCCCTCTCATTACTGGATATAAGGGGGATTCCCCACCACAGACCTGTATAGGGTCCCTCTCATTATTGGATATAAGGGGGATTCCCCACCACAGACCTGTATAGGGTCCCTCTCATTACTGGGATATAAGGGGGATTCCCCACCACAGACCTGTATAGGGTCCCTCTCATTATTGGATATAAGGGGGATTCCCCACCACAGACCTGTATAGGGTCCCTCTCATTACTGGACTGGGATTCCCCAACAGAAGGGGGGATTCCCCACCACAGACCCTGTATAGGGTCCCTCTCATTATTGGATATAAGGGGGATTCCCCACCACAGACCTGTATAGGGTCCCTCTCATTACTGGATATAAGGGGGATTCCCCACCACAGACCTGTATAGGGTCCCTCTCATTATTGGATATAAGGGGGATTCCCCACCACAGACCTGTATAGGGTCCCTCTCATTATTGGATATAAGGGGGATTCCCCACCACAGCACCACAGCGGGGGTACAAGCAAGCGGTAAAAGCGTTTGCACATTTCTGTTGCCATCAGCCAGTCCATTGCCAGATTGGTGCAAAAAGCTGCCGGCACCTGTCACTGGTGAGGCTTCACTAAGAAGGTAACCGCCAGGAAGAATGAGGGGAGTCACACCACACAAAGCACACGGACATGTACAGGGGAGGAGTCGTCTACCACACACAGGAAGGAGGGAGGGTCTACCCGACAGGACAGGAAGGAGGAGGGTCTACCCGACAACAGGAGGGGGAGGGGTCTACCCGACAGGACAGGAAGGAGGGAGCGTCTACCCGACAGGACAGGAAGGAGGGAGGAGGGAGCGTCTACCCGACAGGACAGGAAGGAGGGAGGTCTACCCGACAGGAGGAAGGAGGGAGGGTCTACCCCGACAGGAGAGGAAGGAGCGTCTACCCGACAGGACAGGAGGAAGGAGGGAGCGTCTACCCGACAGGAGAGGAAGGAGGGAGGTCTACCCGACAGGAGAGGAAGGAAGGAGAGGAAGGAGGGAGCGTCTACCCGACAGGAAGGAAGGAGGGAGGAGTCTACCCGACAGGAGAGGAAGGAGGGAGCGTCTACCCGACAGGAGAGGAAGGAGGGAGGGTCTACCCGACAGGAGAGGAAGGAGGAGGGTCTACCCGACAGGAGAGGAAGGAGGGAGGGTCTACCCGACAGGAGAGGACCCGACAGAGGAGGGAGGGTCTACCCGACAGGAGAGGAAGGAGGGAGGGTCTACCCGACAGGAGAGAGAGGAAGACAGGAGGGGAGGGAGCGTCTACCCGACAGGAAGGAGGGAGGAAGGAGAGGGAGGTCTACCCGACAGGAAGGAGAGG